CCCCAAAACCCCAAAACCCCAAAACCCCAAAACCCCAAAACCCCATATTTGCAAAGATTTTTGAAAAAATAAAAATGGAATCCCTTTAATAGCTGCTAAAGATAAAAGCATCATTCTGAATCATAATATTACAATTTATACCCATTAACAGTATTTTTGTGAATTATAACTCCTAAAATTACCCAAAATCATCAAAAAGTTACCCTAACTTAACTAGACTTATTTTTCAAAGCCTTCAGAAACTTCTTAACTATCTTGTCTATGCTCTTATCCTTCATCTTACTGAGCACTTTCTTCAGCTTAGCCTCCTTGACCATCCTATAATGCTCTCTGTACATATTCTCATCGAAATAACTCATGATATCGCCTTGGACTAGGTCCAAGAACTGTCTGAGCTCTCCCAGGGCCGAGAAAGCTCTGGGGTATTGGTCCTTCAGCTCTTCTATCACGTAATGTTCCAAATAATCGAAATCCAATTTGAGGTTATAGATATCATTCATATTAATCTTCGTAATATACTTCTCATTTGCAATGATATCAAGGATCCTGGAAGCTAGGTACTCAAAGCTAGTCACTCAAGCGTGATAGACAATTGATGAGTTGTGCACAGCCAGTGTTGTCAGGTTCACTCTCAACCATTCCACAATAAAAGTAATATACTCAGAAGGCTCCTCATTCACTGCTTTGACAGACCATTCCTGTTCTTTGACAAAGGTCAAGAAGTCATTGATTTTGATCCTGAACTGATTATAAAGCTTCTCTTCACACTGGGACTTGAACTGGTTAAATAGAGCCAGAGCAGAGAAATTATACGAAAATATAGAATCATTCTTCAAACACTTGTATCCACAAGACTGGTAGAAAGGAATTGACTTCTTTAGGTACTCTATGTTGTTGCACAATGTAGCAATCTGAGGAATTCCCATCTGAGATTCTGTACAAAAATGATCCTTTAGAGTTGAGATGATAGAGCATAACAGTTTGTCAATGTTCAGATAAAACAACACATTATCATCTTCATTATAAATTATTATCTCTTGGATAGCATCCTGGATGATATCATTGATACTTTTGACCATCATTGAGTATGGGAGGAACCTTGGAAAACTTTGGTCTTCTTCATCTATTTGAATCCCATAATGCTCAATGTATTTCACAAAATCTTGATGGTTGTTGAGTTGGATCTCACTGTAACTTTCCTCTTCACAAATAGTGTTGATTTTAGCACATACAAAATCCCCTAACTGGTCAAGGTATACTTCATTATACTGAAAGAGCACATTCATGAGACTTTCATTCTTCATCAGCCCTAATGACTCCATTCCTGCAATATAGGTAATCAATTCCTGGTTGATCATCTTGAACTTATTTATAATCCTCTTCTTTGGCCACTTCTGCAACACTAACCTCTAGCAAGGAGTTAGACTGTGTCACCAAGAACTTGTTGTCAGAGTCAGAGTATAGCTCTGGTCAAAACCTGACCAAATATTTTTGGACCATGAAAAAGCCCATAAGTTTCTTGAGATTTTCAGAAACATTGGCACAATTAGCCAGGTCGCAGAGCTGAAACAGCTCTGCTTTCCGGCTCATTGTGACTTTCTCTTTTAACTTATCGAAACTTTTTAGTTTCTTAGCGAGATTCTTCATGTTGATGTATTTATTGAGGTGAATATCCACCATGAAATGATCAGACCCGGCTGGCTCTTCCTCAATAACATTGCTAAGCTTCTCATCACCTGATTGGAATTCTAAAGGAGTGAATAGTCAGCTTACTTTCCATCTTCTCTTTACGCATGGAGAAGTTCCGGTTGAAGGTAACTCTTGTAGATGTCTTGCTTCTAAGCATTGGCATGGTTTCGATTCCCCCTATTCTCTTCATTTTGTTAAAATATTTCTAAAAAGTTACCTAAATCTGGGGTTTTGGGGTTTTGGGGTTTTGGGGTTTTGGGGTTTTGGGATTTTGGGGTTTTGGGG